ACTGCGAGCTGTTACCGTGACACCTGTGAGAAGGGAAAAACACGATCCTAGGACATGCTATTAAAGTTATAAGCTAGAGAGAAACAGAGATGCAGATTCGGTTGTTTAAGGGGCTTCTGCATCCTTGTCTGGAGGAACAGGCACAGATCAAGAGCGTGCTGGTAAAAACCAGGCATGGATCTCTTCAGAGAAATGAAGAAGGGGTGTGTAGCTGGGAGTTAAGTTATAGCCCCAACAGGTATCACAGCTAAAGCTCCCAGCTACCTGCAGAGCTTGGCTGGATCACAGGAGGTGCTCCACAGCCTACCTGCTGAAACACGGACCAAGCCTTGCCATCTCCAAGACTGGCTTTAGCCACAAAACAGTCACCACCAGGATTATGGCCAATCAAAGCAGCAGAAGAGCGCCCACAGAATAGCAGGAGAAACTAAAGTAGTTTAATTTGCACGTAGACTGGAGACATCCGCAATATGGCAGTGGTGAGATGAGTCACCACCTGGTGCCGACCTAGGCTATAGAGCCAGCCCCACCAGCAAGCAGACAACCTTCATATCCCCAAGGACAGGGAAGTTCAAGGAGAAAGCTGCAAGGGGAGCAGGGCACCAGCCAGCCTCGTACCACTGCCGTGTGGGTATACAAACATATGGAGACCCTTGCTGCCAGATAATGTGATATATAAAGGATGAGCTGCTGCTTCAGGGAAGTCAGGCATTTCCCCCACCCAATTCTCTCTCCTTTTTCAATGAGGGAACCACCTGGTTTCGTGGAAATCAAATTATCTGCCCCCAAAATTTGTCCTTAAGGTCATGCACTACACATGGTCAGCAGCACATGTGCACCGCAGTCCTGGTACTCCACGTCAGACAACACAGGCCCAGATCCAGCCTCACAACGCAGAGCGATGTGGTTGATATCGGACCACCAGACACAGTCCCAGCTCAGGGACATAGCTGAGGACCAATGGCAGGATTAGGCCCATCTCAGCTTCCACTGCTCAGACCAACTTGGGAGACGGTGGATACCATGAATATCCTAAGCGTAGCCCAGCTGCATTTAGCAAAGGGACCAACGATGCTCATCTGCTACATCCCTTGAAGCCTCAACTGCCTTCAGCATTTCCATTATCCCAGACCACTTCATAGGTTCCTTAAAGCCTTAAGGATTATTTTATTTTAATTTTATAATTTATCCCTCCCAGGGAATAGACAGATTATGGCTTTTTTTTTTAAGGGAGGGAGTCAAAAGGCATCAAGAGCGTTACTATTGAACCCTTCCCCAGGGAAGGAAGACGACGTGGTTCAGCTCTTCTGTTGGACAACCCCCGTCGGGATTTCACTCATTTGACCTCTCCAGTGCTGCCTTGTTCCCTCCTCACACCAACCAGTTGCTGAGGTTGGTTGCTCAGGGCATAAATACACCCCTCAGACAAAATGGCAGGAGCTCTGCTGGAGCCTGGCTCCCCGTGACTCATCTCCACCTCATCTCCTCCTACCCCGGCAGCTCCCATAAAAGCCACCCCAGGTGCTCCTTCTACACACACAGAGAGAGAACTGGCAGTCAGAATAAAATAAATATAAAAAAAACCTTTGGAGCCAAAGGCAAAGCCAAGCAAGGCTACAAAACAAGCCTGAGATATCTCAGTTTGACACCTGATAACCACAAGGGCCATGCTCCAGATAGAGCCACAGTGATCTTTGGACATCATGAGTCACCCCGTCTGCAAACGGTCCTCTCATCCAGAGGGGGAATTCCTTTAGGTAGGACTGAGATTCACGGGCAATGCCAAAGCCGTGCCAGATTGGGTTTGTTGCTAACCCCAAAGGTCCCCAGTCTTCAGAGCCGTCTGCTTAGTGAGTCCTGGGTGGCGAGCTCCTACGGCATTCACCACCACCACCAAGTGAGCGACCAACCAACCTTTCCAGCACTACCAGTCTGCGCTCACGATGCAATTAAAGAAAACTGCACACGAAGAAGCACAAGGCGCTGAAGCACAAGGAAACCAGATGGCTTGTGCCGAGGAAGCCTTCAGCCCCAGCAGGGATGGTGAATGAGGAGCTGAAGATCAGTGCTTGGGAGGGTCAACCACCAACCACCAAGGGTAATTCAGGCAGAGGTGGGCAACTCCGTGAGAGCTGGTCAAGTCCAAGCTGCATTTGCTCTCCATTAATTCACCCAGCTTGCATCAAGGCACATTACAATATATCAACATTTGCTCTGTAGTTAAAACTAGAGCAAAATACCTGCGCAGAGACAAGGAACAGCCAAAAGTGACAACAATTTCTGCAGCTCTAGGAAGTGCTGACACACGAGCTACCGCTGTCATTAACAGAAGTACCCTTGATCCATGACCCCAACCCTGTGCATTGAGCACGTCGTCTCCAGCTGCAACCTCAACCCTACAAGTTTCACCCAGCAATTGCTTACAACGTCTCCCACTGAAAAAAATTAGGCAAGTACTTAGTTTCATCCACTCTCAGGAGCAAAAATATTTCCTAACACAGAGTTTTGTCCCCAAAAAGGGATGTTTCCAAGTACACAGACGATCCAGCAGCTGGAAAGCTTGCTGTAGAAATAGGGTAACTGGAGCATCAAACTCTCAGCACCTATTTTATTTCCAGAACCACGCTAGTCTAAAAACTATTTTGATAGAGTCAGAGCTGCCAACTGGGATTATTATTCCTCTTTGCAACCCGTGAGTTTGAGTCAGGCCAGCACAGGACAAGTAGCCAAGTGACCCTGGTTTAGCCACGTTAGCTTGTGGGATAGAGAGCAAAACAAAAGCCGGAGAACCACTCCACACACAAAAGCAGGCTTTAAAATTCTCTTTTTTAAAAGATTATCGATAATGTCCTTCTCCTCCCGGCCAAGGGCATTTCAGAAAGTAATATGGGCTGTTACTACAAGACAACCAGTAGGTCACAACAAATGTTTTTGCTCCTTGAACATCTATTTATATATAAAAGTCCCTAACACGAAACTAATCTCATGAAGCACTCCAGCTGAAAGCTGTTCTTCTGTGGGAGACTTTACCAGCTAAAACCTCTAAAACCTTTTATTGAGAATATAGTTACACCACACAGCCTTTTAACAAATGAGTGGAGGATTAAGGTTTTAAATTTCCCAAAGAAGTGCCCTCACTGTTGGCTAACGCACTCAGCAAGAGGAAGGAAAAATAAAATGGGAGGGGGGAAAAAAAAAAATAAATATGGGGGACTGGGGTTTTTAAACAGCAAAACCTGCATCCAGAGCTCGAATCTCAGGAGCGTGAAACTGCTCTGGGGAGCTGGGGGAGGCACAGGGGTGTCTGTGCATCATGAGAGCCAGGGCAGGGAGCCAGCAGGAAACAGATGTATTAAATCTTCGGCCCCAGTACATGAACCCTGGCAATAAATAAATAAATAAATAAAAATCACCATCGCAGCAGCATTCGGGATCCCCTGCAAGAGAGCGAACACGCAGCGGCCGCATCCGCAGCCCCTGATGCTGTCAGGGTGGAAAAAAAAACCAACTAGAAGAGGCTATAGTGATAGTTTATTAAAAATAAAAACCTGATATCATTAATGGGAAACCTAATCAGGTGTTTTGGTTTTTTTTTTAACTAAAAAAAGTAATCATGTTAAAACAGAGGCTGCATATCCCCTGCCAGTTTCCCCACCACCACTAAAGCTTTGCAACATTTTCCTATGTTATTCTCCTCTGTGCTACCGTCCGACAGATCCAAACAGGGTAAACTGACTGCTCATACAAGGTAAATGGTGTGTCTGTACACAGAATAAATTGGGGAAAAAAAAAAAAGGTCCTGCTAATCTTCCCTTACAAGCAGCACCTGCTATTTAGACAAGGCCCTGGGTAAACTCCAACCTGGTTTAAGGTTGCAACCTCTGTAGCTGCAGTTGAAGAGGCCAGGCTCAAGTGACTCAAGATCAGACTGATCCTTGTTCAGCCGAGGTTGCAATCTCAACCCTCGCTCAGGAAAAAAAAAAACACACCTCTAGATACTGACTGAGTTTTGCTTTTTAGGTTGTTGGGGTTTTTTTAGGTGTGTTTTGTTGTGTTTTTTGGTTTGGGTTTCGTTTTTTTTTTGCCGAAGGGCTGCAGAAACGCAGCCCTCTGCTGAAGAACAAGTTTTGAAAATTATATACTTGCAAGAAGAGATCAGATTACAGGGCAAACTCACTGCAGGTTTATAAAGCTGGCTCCCAGGGGACAGACCTAACGGGAGACGCGCTTAAACAGCCCCAAAAACTAATGTTTACCCATCTTTTCTCGCAACAAGCAGCACTCCTTAAAGCCTCCTCGGCCCCAGGAGCGTGCATTGATGACCAAGGGACGGCGGGGAAAGTCGAGGCGGTGGCAGCCCGAGGACAAACCCCGTTGGTTTCACCCCGCTGTTACTAATTAAACGAGTGACGCCAGCGGAGCTATCGGCCCCGTCTCGCACGCGTAGCCAGGCTGCCGTTGCACCTATTTTCCTTGTGGGCAGCTCTCGGGGGAAGAGGCATGTCAGCGAGAAACACCACCCTGCCCGGTACCTCCAATGGTGGTGGTGGTGGTGGGGGGGGGGGGGAAAAAGCGCAGGCTGGACCATCTTCCTACGGGCAGGAAGGAGAAAAAGCCAAAATATAGGAGAATTTGGTTAAAAGTAGTCACTGGGAAGCTTGCAGATGGAGCCAGCGGAGGAAGATGTGATAGAGGAGTGGAGTTTAAGAGATGACGAGCTATGAGATAGTTGTGTAGGTCTCCTTATGGATGAGCTACTGGACACATTTCTACCCCACATCACGCATCAAGCCCTTCCCCAGCCAGCCCCCTGCCATGCCCTGACGCCCCCAGCACGGTTTGATGGCCAGGATGGACCCGCACCCCCCACCCATGCCCTGCGGCACCCATGGAGACCACCATCCCCACGGACCAGATGGGGATACCCAGCCCCACAGAGCTTCAGTTGGGTGCTTTGCCATCCTGCTCCCACCCATGGCACCCCACCGCCGTGGCCTCACCTTCCGGGTGCTGCCGCTCTTCAGGGCTTGCAGGAGGACGAGGCCACTGCCCCCGTCCCCCTCCCCGCCGCCAGCCGGGCTCTCCTCCTCGGGGGGCATCATCTCCAGGGGCGCAGCATCCACAAGCTGAGGGGGGGCCCGTAGCTGGGGGCTCCTGCCTGACCCCACAGGGTGGCTCCGGTTCTCCTGGCCTAGCCCCACACCCTGCTAGCCCCCCAGGGGGTTCAGAGCCCAGCCCTGTCCTGGGTGGGAGCTTAAAC